ACAAACTGAAGGCCGAGCGTGAGCGTGGTATCACCATTGACATTTCCCTTTGGAAATTCGAGACCAGCAAATACTACGTCACCATCATTGATGCCCCCGGACACAGAGACTTCATCAAGAACATGATCACTGGTACTTCTCAGGTATGTCTACAACTGTGATTCTAGAAATTTCAATTTTCAAGGATTTTTAAAATTAACTTGATTCCTCCTCTCAGGCTGACTGTGCTGTGTTGATCGTGGCTGCCGGTGTCGGTGAGTTTGAGGCTGGTATCTCCAAGAACGGACAGACCCGTGAGCACGCCCTGCTGGCCTACACATTGGGAGTGAAACAGCTGATCGTTGGAGTCAACAAGATGGACTCCACTGAGCCCCCTTACAGCCAGGCTCGTTTTGAGGAAATCACCAAGGAAGTCAGCGCATACATCAAGAAGATCGGCTACAACCCTGCCACCGTTGCATTTGTGCCGATTTCAGGATGGCACGGTGACAACATGCTGGAGCCCAGCTCAAATGTAAACATCTGAAAGATATTATAAATATAAATGCCTTTAAGTGTTTGCGATCATTCATACTTAAAGGTCCCATGTAGTGCTTTGAAATGTGCATTTTTTATTGAGTGTTTGGCGTAATCGCAACTGAAACATAAAGATAAGGTAGGGCGCCGTGGAGCTCCTCCCTTTTAAAAAAACAGCCAATAGTGATCACAGCTCTGCCAGTGTGAGTGCTTGAGCTCAGCGCATTAACTGAAAAGCAAATGTGAAGTGTCTTGGAGGGGGCGGGGCTTGTCAAACACTAGGGAGCATTTGATTGGATAGAAGATTTGATGAGAAACTGAAATATGAGGTGACCTGAATAAAACCGTTGATCCATTTAGAAGGAATTGACAAACTACAACCTTTTACATGTTTATATTAGTTTTATATCCTTTAAACGTGAATCTTCTCACCGTTTTGGAGCACACTAGCTTATAGATATCCTAAAAACGAACAATACTGATCATAGCATCAAAATTGTTCTAATTTTTTTACTTGCGTGGTTCCAAACCTTTTTGAGTTCATTTCACAATAGACACAAAAGAAGGCATTTTGAGGAAAACTGAAAACCTGTAACCATTGGCTGTGTCTGAAATCACATACAACCCTACTATATAGTGCATGGAAAAAAGAGTAGTACGCAAGCTAAGTAGTATGTGTTAAAGTCATAGGCTGCGTCCAAAACCGCCTACTCCTCAGTAGGTACTGCATTTGAATTTAAACGTACTACTCGGCCGTTAATAAAGTACGCTCTATACAGTATGATTGTGAGAAGTATGAATGGAATTCAGACGTACTATATCCGCCATTTTGTCATGGTCACGTGACCTACCTGCGTCAGTTGTGTCGCTTTACTCCCATTTCTGAATTCACTTGCGGGGCATCATGGGATAGCGCAGCATGCATGGGATGCGCACTCCAGAATCTCGCTGGAAGTAGTAAGTCATCCGGGTACTTCTCGCATACTGGTTTTCGAATTCTATGAAATCGGACATACTACTCAGCTCGCATACTGATTCTAGCGTACTATATAGTATGGAAGTATGCGGTTTCAGACGCAGCAATAGTATTCGAAAAATAGTAGGCGAGAAGTATCCGGATGACCTACTACTTCCGGCAAGATTCTGTATAGTGCACCTGATGGATGCTATGCTATCCCATGATGCAACACAAGAGAATTTATGAATAGTAGTGAAGCAACTAGGTCATGTGATAATGACAGATGGCGGATGTCATATTATTCATAATATGTAGAACAGGGGTGTCCAACCTCTGTCCTGGAGGGCCACTGAGTTTAGCTCCAACTTGCCTCTAACGTTACACACCTGCCAGGAAGTTTCTAATATAAGAACTTGATTAGATGATGCAGGTGTGTTTGATTAGGATTGGAGTTAAACTCTCCAGGACTAAAGTTGTTTCTAGAAGAGATACAGCTGTGGCTTGCAGTTAATGGGAATTTTAT